ATAGCGTATGCGAAGCGAGAAGCCAGCGCCGCGGAAAGGAAAATCTTTAAAAATACCGTTCGACGAAAAAGCTGCGCAAGCGCAACCTCGCGTTCGCACACCCCCGCGTGTCGGCTCTTTTCCTCTTGGCTTCTTTCCTTCTCCGACGTCTCCTCCGTGCTCCCCCGTGTCCACCCCAGCCCCACCCCTTCCCCTTTCCTCATCGCCCATCCCATCCGCCAAGCCCCTGCCCCCTGACCCACCGGCCCCGCGATCCCTCCGTCCTCCTCTGCCGTCCGTTGTCGCGCCCTACTCCCGCCCGCCTATTTCCGTCTTTCTTTCTCTCCCTCGTTCGCCCGCTCTCCCTCTGTCGGCCCTCCTCGCGCTCGCCACGTCCTTGCTATTTCTCTGTCGTCTGAGTTGCCGCACCGCCGCCGCCAAAACAAATCGTAAAGACGTCTCAGCACTCCTTCGCTCCCGCTGGATCTCTCCTGCCTCCACCTCCTCCTCCTCCTCCTCCTTCTTCTCCTCCTCCCGCCCCCTTCAGCACTCCGCATTTCCCGAAGCAACGGAAATCGAAGATGCACCACGCACTCGGACAATAACCTTCGAGGCTGCTCATATAGCACAAATCGAAAGCAGACGATGGACGCGACGGTCTCGCTTTACCGCGTGGGCGGATAAAGAAGTCAAACTTGGAAAATGAGATTGAAAGCATCGTCGCTCGCTTCTCTTACATTTTTCCTCTAGCGATACAAATTTAATTTCGTTTTTCTTTAATGCGATTGCATTTCATTCTGGATTTTGATTTCGCACGTTCGAACGTCGAATTGCACTTCAATTGTTTCTTACATGCTTACAAATTCCAGCAGATCTATTGATTTCCACCTTTTCTTCAATCCAGTCAGTATCGCTAATCAAATGATTATATATAAATTAATAATTAAGTTCTCGTGGTCTTAATTTATTATGGACTTCCTTTAAGCTTGGGTCACTTATAAACACTTATAAGCACGCATAGATATTTATAATTCATACGCTTTTCATGGCTATTGCTTAATCATTATGATACAAATGCTATTGATCATTCTTAATTTAAGAATGAAAATAATCATATTACAATATTATATTTTTCGGAATGTTCTTGACAATAAATCATCGTTCGTAATGAGCGTGTAGAAACGTAGCGGTTGAAAAACGTTTCGGTATTGCTTTATCTTATGAATTTCTATATCACCAATAATTAATTAAATTCATGAAACATTAAACTGTGAGGAACGTAAAATATATAATTAAATTTCATCTCGGATTAACTAAATTCGAAATATTCCTATCAAATTTTAATACAAATATTATAATTTATCCGTATAAGAAAATCCGCTTTAAGAAATTCATTTCGTGTTATGAAATATCAAAAAATCATAATACTCTTAAAAGCAATTATATAAATGGATATTTCGTTAAACAAACAAATGTTCAGCACAATTCCTCTCTGTCGTTCAAGGCCTCGGCAACTTAATTCTAAAACTCCCACGGCATTCGCGTTTACAAATTCACGGTCGGAAATCACGGTGCAGAAGATTGGAAATTATGCGTAGGATTGTATTGTAATTGAGGATAATGGTCGTCTGTGTAAACGAGCTTCTATAGAACAGTTATGAAACAAAACGGTGGTTGTGCGCGAGCGTGAGGTCAAACTGCGCTGATAAACCTTAGAGATTCTTTTCGACGTGTGACTAACAACTCTTACACCAAATTTCAACTAAATCTGCGTGGTACCCAGATAAAAAAGCATTTTAGAATATTATATTCGCTCTCGCTTGACGACGACGACAACGACGATGACGACGACGACGACGACGACGACGACGACGACGACGACGACGACGACGACGACGACGACGACGACGACGACGACGACGACGACGACGACGACGACGACGACGACGACGACGACGACGACGACGACGACGACGACGACGACGACGACGACGACGACGACGACGACGACGACGACGACGACGACGACGACGACGACGACGACGACGACGACGACGACGACGACGACGACGACGACGACGACGACGACGACGACGACGACGACGACGACGACGACGACGACGACGACGACGACGACGACGACGACGACGACGACGACGACGACGACGACGACGACGACGACGACGACGACGACGACGACGACGACGACGACGACGACGACGACGACGACGACGACGACGACGACGACGACGACGACGACGACGACGACGACGACGACGACGACGACGACGACGACGACGACGACGACGACGACGACGACGACGACGACGACGACGACGACGACGACGACGACGACGACGACGACGACGACGACGACGACGACGACGACGACGACGACGACGACGACGACGACGACGACGACGACGACGACGACGACGACGACGACGACGACGACGACGACGACGACGACGACGACGACGACGACGACGACGACAATGATTACGGCAATGGAGAAAGTAAAAGTTATTTCCAATCGATAAATTTTTCATGGGACCCAGGAGTTTATTTCTTTTCTTGGTAATTGGTTGAGTTAAGGTAATATTAGTGCCGTCTCTTTGGTGGAAATTTATTCCTTAAGTGACATTATTTTTTTTTTTTTTTTTTTTTCTTGTTTTTACAATGATACGATAAATTTTTAATTTAAAAAAAATCATACGTTTTAATTACATTTTATATAAAACATATGTTTTATGCATTTCTCTCAAAGGCACATCATAATATTGTAAGCATGAAACGTGCTCGTTATATTTTTTACTCGGAGAAAACCCTAGAAATAGCAACATTTAAACATAAAATAAGATAAAAAACATTTGATAGTTGGTACAATTAAAATTATGCCATTTTCAACGTTTTTATCTTAAATTTCATTTTTAATTCTAATCAAAATCAAGTGTTTAAATGGTGAGAATTTTTTAAGAATAAATTTAAAATTCAAATAAGGAACAAAGTTAAGAATAATGTATCAAATATTTACAGTTTAGATCAAATAAATGGGTATTATATTAACCGTTAATGTATATTTATATATAATTGCCGTATTATAAATATTTCGTAAAATACGATTATCAGTAAAAAAATATATTAATGTATTATGTAATATGTTATTAAAAAAAAAAAAAAAAAAAAAAACTTTATTCCTACAATATTAATGATGATATTGAAGATAAATGTCAAGCAAAAACTACTCTATTAATTTAATTAACATACTTATTATTAATTATCGTCGATAGTCTCTTTTTATAGTATATTGGAGAAAAAATGTTTACCGAATTATAATTTTTAATAAGATAATGAAACAATAAATAAATGAATTATATATATATAATATATTGAGAATATCTTTTAATTAGCGAGTTTTATGGATAATTTATAAATGTTTAAATCGATGTTTCTTGTACTTAGATATGTACAATATCTAAAAATTTATGAGAATATTTTTCTATATTTGTCTTTAAAATAATCCTTTAATAATCCCTCAAACAAGGACGTATAAGAAACAAACGATCAGATCTGATAAACGAAACATTAAATAATCGAATGGTTGAAAAAGAAATGTAATGTATATTTGCTTTTATGTAAATCTTCCAGCATTTGGTCACGTGCATTTATGTATCAACTGCGTAAGTTCATCTGCGTATCTTATCACGCACGATAATACAAGTAAATTTTATGTGCTTTTTTGAAAAAGCGCCATTTGCAGTTTATTTATACATTTTTATCAAATTTGACATAAACTGCCAATGTAAAAAATAAAATTAGGTCGATTATTCTACTTAAGTAATTTTTGTCGTTCGTAAAAACACATTTTATATATGAGAGAAAATAGTATTAAAGTCAACATATTAAAGTAATATGAAAATAAACGCTATTTGCAAGGACAAATCCTTCGATCCTTCAAATCGCCAATAAAGACTTAACGCAAATCACAATAATCAATGGCAAAATGTATAGTCTGACAACAGACGATATTATATTGAAATCGTAATTGTTATCTGAAAAATGAAACATTCAATAGATAACTCCATAAAATTGCATTCTAGTCGATTTCTCGAAAATTCACACCAGCCTCGTAAAGCCATAACAATTGCTCTTTTTTGTTTGTATTATTATTATTTTTTTAATTCAACCTATTTCCTAACGATTTAAAGATAAAACGATGAATGAATGGTCGTTTGAGAGAGAAGAAATATAACGAAAGAAAATATAAAACTTCTTCACCCTATCTAGACATGGTCGATCGTGTACCACGTACATGAAGGCCATTAATATTCTTTTACCAAATGCACCTATTTTATGCACTAGGTAGCGGTTTAGCTATTCGCAACCCTTGTCTCTATTTTTATGAAAAATTTTTAATTAAAATTTTAATTGACACCTTAATGGCAGATCATAGAAGGCAAAAACCATTAAGAAAAGGTTCTGTGTATCCCATTTATTTAAAAATGCCAGGGTGGGTAGCCTTGTTTTTTTAACGGACAATTATTGCATTAATCGTAATCGAATAATCTAAGCATATTCGTATTTTAAATGATAAATTTACTAACGTCTCGAGGAGAATAATTTTTGCTTATTCTTCGTAGTGATTATGTAAAGGATTTTTAATGAATATAAGACTTAATATTGAAATGTTGACAAAATATTGAAGCGTCAATCCTTAGCGTAGATATAGCATGAAACAAATTTAATTACATAAAATCTTCCTATTCTTTGTATATAAAATACATAGTATATATATATATATATATATATATATATATATATATATATATATATGCATGTGTTAATGTATGTCTGTATATTCACTGCAAAATAAATAAATAAATAAATAAAATATAACAAGCAACGTGTGTGTGTGTGTGTGTGTGTGTGTGTGTGTGTGTGCGCGCGCGCGCGCGCGTTATCGAGCGTTTGTGCGATTAGTCATGCATGTATGTATATATGTATATATTTTTTACTTTCAGATACTGGCACGCCGTACGTGTTGTACAAGGACAACATGGAGAGACCCCAAAGCCAGTGGGGCCCTGGCCCGGGATCTCTCCAGGACGGTGGACTTTACGCTCAACAGCAGCAGCAGCAGCAGCAGCAGCAGCAGCAGCAGCAGCAACAGCAGCAGCAGCAACAGCAGCAGCAGCAGCAGCAGCCGCCCCAACAGAGCTCCTCCTCGTCCGGTAGTCCACAGCAGGCCTGTGGCCCACCGGTCGAGGGTGAAAATGGAGGTCAGCCGGCCAGTTTGGCCTCGCCTGTACCCTCGCCTTATCCGTCGGCCCCGCCGGATCAGCCGCAGGCTCTCACACCATCTGACGAAGACATTCAATCGAGTCAGCAACAATCGTCGCAACAGCAAAGTGCTCAGCAGCAACAGCAACAGCAGCAACAGCAGCAGCAGCAACAGCAGCAGCAGCAGCAGCAGCAGCAGCAGCAGCAGCAGCAGCAGCAGCAGCAGCAGCAGCAGCAGCAGCAGCAGCAGCAGCAGCAGCAGCAGCAGCAGCAGCAGCAGCAGCAGCAGCAGCAGCAGCAGCAGCAGCAGCAGCAGCAGCAGCAGCAGCAGCAGCAGCAGCAGCAGCAGCAGCAGCAGCAGCAGCAGCAGCAGCAGCAGCAGCAGCAGCAGCAGCAGCAGCAGCAGCAGCAGCAGCAGCAGCAGCAGCAGCAGCAGCAGCAGCAGCAGCAGCAGCAGCAGCAGCAGCAGCAGCAGCAGCAGCAGCAGCAGCAGCAGCAGCAGCAGCAGCAGCAGCAGCAGCAGCAGCAGCAGCAGCAGCAGCAGCAGCAGCAGCAGCAGCAGCAGCAGCAGCAGCAGCAGCAGCAGCAGCAGCAGCAGCAGCAGCAGCAGCAGCAGCAGCAGCAGCAGCAGCAGCAGCAGCAGCAGCAGCAGCAGCAGCAGCAGCAGCAGCAGCAGCAGCAGCAGCAGTCGGTGCAGCAGTCGGTGCAGCAGCAACAGCAGCAGCAAGTACAAAACAGTCAGGGCCAAGATCACTCGCCCCAGCAGCAAATCAATACTCACGACGTCGAGCGCAACGATTGCTTCCCTGGCACCGGCAGCGAGCTCCAACAATACCCGCAGCACTACTTCAAGGAGGCCAGGCCCCACCCATCGCCCTCCGTCCCGCCACACATGCTAACCCCCGGCGGTTTCTCGGCACTGCACTACCTAAAGCAGCCCGGGGTCATGCTGACCTCGCTTGGCCAGGGCGACGGCGGACCGAGCGGTCTTGAAGCGCACCAGTATAGCGGCGCCGGAGGGCCGAACATGTCATCGGGACTACCGGACATCGTCCAGCAGAACGGCAAATCCAGCAAATCGACGAACAGCGAGCTACGGCTGTTCAAATGCCTGACCTGCGGCAAGGACTTCAAGCAGAAGTCCACCTTGCTGCAGCACGAGCGCATTCACACGGACAGCAGGCCCTACGGCTGCCCCGAGTGCGGCAAGCGATTCCGACAACAGTCCCACCTGACCCAACACCTGCGCATTCACGCCAACGAGAAGCCGTACGCGTGCGCCTATTGCGAGCGCACCTTCAGGCAGCGCGCCATCCTCAACCAGCATCTGCGCATCCACTCGGGTGAGAAGCCATACCAATGTCCGGAGTGCGGGAAACACTTCCGTCAGAAGGCGATCCTGAATCAGCACGTCCGCACACACCAAGGCGAGCATTTCTCTCTGCCTAACCCAGACTCCTCAATGGAGAGCGACGGGCGTCCCGCAAGTCGCGCGTCCAACACGCCCGATCCTTGAACTTTATTAGCACTGCCAATTTATCACCGCTATTGTTTTTCCCACGATTCGAAGGCGGCTCTACTTTCTGGCTTTCTCCGGGGTCACGGCCCACGTCTCTTCTTAGACTCCCTCGCTTTTAACTGCGGATGTAGAGGAGGGGCGCGTCGACGCGAGGACACAAGACGACCCGAAAACGTGACCGCCCAACATCTCGTCTCGTCGGCTCAAACGTGAGAGAATTATTCAAGACGCTGCGAGGAATGAATGATTTTTTGGATGATTCATCAGCGGAAGAATTTTCTTGTGTCTTCGCGTTGTGCGGGCCTCGTCTCTCTCGATTCGGCTCGAGCGCCCGGCCTCGAGTCACTATTAGTATAATTAATATCCTTTCGTCTTGCCGAAATCCAGAATTTGTACTTGACTTAATTAATTTTCACTAAAAAATTTATACCACATTGTACGTCAATATTAATATTACGACTATCAGTATCAATGTTATGTTAATTTAGGTGCAATATTGAAAGATCGATAATGGCTAAACGACTAAGCATTCGACATTTGTTAACCTATAAAATGTTTACAGTATGTATAAATAAATCGTTTTTTCCAAGTATATTGCAAAAGAACGGATTTTTTAACAAGACGTTAGGGAAGTGTAAAGCTGCAATTTATTACACCCGCCTTGTTTGACAATCCCGCCAAATATCATATATAATAATGCTTTACTAATCCCAGCCACCTGAATTTATTTTCTTCCTGCATTGCAAAGACGCTCGTACCCTCGACCAACCTCACACGTCGTTTACCATTCGCTTTGGCAGACTCCGCTGATCCCTGTGCGAAGTGCGCAGAAACTTAACAATTAACAAACAGTATTCTTTTTTCTTTTCTTTTTTTTTCTCTTTCTTTTTTTTTTTTTTTTTTTTTTTTTTTTTCCCCCCCCCCCCCCCCCATCGAGACTACAATGTCGTCAACGTTGCGTTCGACCCTGTCTCGCAAAACTACACTCTATCATCACGTATTTAGAAACCTACAAGTGCTTGCCTTCTCCTTTGCTCCTCCAATTAACGCACATAAATAAATGCATCCGCGACTATCCCACCCACAGGACCACCAAACGCCGAGCGAATATCTCCTCCACTATCAAGAAACTAACGCTCGAATGAACAAAGCAAAACAAACAAAATAACACGACCTATGACGACGTTCCCCGTGTTCCTAATAATAATAGTAATAATGATAATAATAATAATAATGATAATAATAATAATGATTATAATAATAACAATAACAACAATAATAATAACAATAATAATACAAGATTAATAATAATAAGAATAATAAGAATAAATATAATAATAACGATAACGATAACGATAACAACAACAATAAATAAATAAATAAATAAACAATATTAAAACAACAATAATAAATAAATAATTAAATAATAACATAATGATGATATAAATAACAATAAACGATGATGATGATGGTGATGATGATGACGATGGTAATTATAATAAATAATGACATTATAATAAGCAATAAGTTAAATCATAATTATAAACAATTGAATTGATAGATGATGAATAATTAATAATAAATAATAATTTATGATCGATGATTAATGATTGATGAGTGATGATGGTTGTGATGACGATGATCATGATGGTGATGATGATGATGATGATGATGATGATGATGCTTTATGACTAAGATGACGATGATGATAATCATGGTGATGATGGTGATGATGATCATAATGATGGTGATGACGACGACGGCGACGGCGATGACGACGATGATGATAATGATGATGATATGATGATGGTGTTGACGTTGATTACGATGGTGGTGACATTGATGATGATAATGATGATGATGATGATGATGGTAATGATGTTGATGTGGATGGCGATGTTGATGATGGTGACGATGTTGATTATGATGATGTTGATGATTATTATGACGGTGATGGTGATGATGGTGGTGATGACGATGATAAGAGAAATATCAAAAGAAATCGCAATTAATCATCAATGCGACACGTCGCCTCGACAATCGCGTCCTCATTAAAACCTTCTATTCTCCGCTTATCATTTCAGACGTGAGTCCGCACTTGATCTTCAAGAACGGGATGACGCCAACCCTCTGGCCCCAGGATGTACCCTTCCCGCCCGAAGAGGGCAAGGAGGAGGTGGCCTCGACGTTTGGTGACACGGATACGCAGTCGGGCGCCTTCAGTCCGGCGCCCGGCGACGGCAACTCTAGCCAGTATCCGGCCTACTTCAAGGATCCTAAGGGCGGCAACCACGCGGTCTTTGGCGCGGCTGGAGCCTCCGGTACCTTCGGCGCCCTCCAGTACATCAAGCAGCAGAGCGGTACCGGAACCAACGGCAAGGGCTGCCTCCCCGACGTCATACAGCACGGCCGCTCCGCCGGTATGCCGCTCTACGTGCGCTGCCCCATCTGCCAAAAGGAATTCAAGCAGAAGTCCACCTTACTGCAACACGGCTGCATCCATATCGAATCCAGGCCATACCCCTGCCCCGAGTGCGGCAAGCGATTCAGGCAACAGTCCCACCTGACCCAACACCTGCGCATCCACACAAACGAGAAGCCCTACGGCTGCGTATACTGCGGCCGGAATTTCAGGCAGCGCACGATTCTCAACCAGCATCTACGGATACACACCGGCGAGAAGCCATACAAGTGCCAGCAGTGCGGCAAGGACTTCCGCCAAAAGGCCATCCTCGACCAGCACACGCGCACCCATCAGGGCGATCGACCCTTCTGCTGCCCGATGCCCAACTGCCGACGGCGGTTCGCGACCGAGCCCGAAGTCAAGAAGCACATTGACAACCATATGAATCCGCACGCGGCTAAAGTCAGGCGAAACTCGAGTAGCGATACGAAGCCCCCGGGTGGAGGTGGTGCCGGCGGCGCCCCCACCGGCCTCGGACCCGTCAGCGTAGCTCGGGGCCTCACGCCCACCGTCGTCAAGCCCGAGCTTTATTTCCCCCAGTGCTACGCGCCGGCGTTTAATCACCAGCCGGCCGTGTCCTCGGCCCAGTTCCCGGGCCAGTCGAACGTTGTCGCGGTCACCGGCGAATTCAAGCCTCCCACCGGGTTACCGCCCCAGTGACTAGCCGTCCATCCTGCAGCGTACTAGCAAGCAGGAATACCGCTGAGATTTCAGCGATGCCTCAGCGCGGTTGGGGGGGGTGCTGCTAGTGCGACGCAGCATCACCATCACCACCATCACCACCATCACCACCACCAGCAACAGCAGCAACAGCAGCAACAGCAGCAACAGCAGCAACAGCAGCAACAGCAACAACAGCAACAGCAACAGCAACAGCAACAGCAACAGCAACAGCAGCCCCGACAACAAATACCATCTTCGTCGGCGTCATCGTCGCCCTCATCGATCGTCTCGTCGTCCTCGTCGCCAGACGCGCCGAGCAGATGTAGTCAACAGCAGCCGCTTCAGCAACTCTATCCCTAATTTGAACAATGTATTGAGAAAGTGGGAGGGGGAAAAAGTTGAAGAGAGAAAGAGAATGAGTGAAAGGAGAAGAGAAAGAGAGAGAGAGAGAGAGAGAGAGAGAGAGAGGAGAGAGAGGAAGAAAGAGAGAGAGAGAGAGAGAGAGAGAGAGAGAGAGAGAGAAAGAGAGCGAGTGAGACTGATTGGGAAGGGGAGGTGTCGCGGCACTCTCCTGGCACGTGCCTTACAAGGAAAAATAATATTGTGCTCGGGACGAGTATTGGTATGACGAGATCAACAACCGACATACGAATTACTTGTCTGTTTTATAGAAAATTGCTCTTCTCATTTAAGTTTTTTACTCGCTAGATTACTTTTCCCTCTATCGACTCTCATTTGTGTTCTAAGTTTCATATCCACTTTGAATATGCATGACTATTTCAACGGAATTAAGAAAGAGAAATGAGGGCAAGTTCACATAATACAAGGTAACGTATAAATAGTACATATATAAATGAATAAAATTCGTCCAATCCGCATTCACGCTCGATAATAAACACACTATGCCGGTTATTTTTTCTCCGTGTTAATATTGTGTTATATTTTTGTTTTCATTTTTGTTTTTGTATTTTTTTTTTATTTTTTTTTTGTTTTTTTTTTGTTTTTCCTTTCTTTCTTTCTTGCTGTCACGTTTGTTCGGGTCATTTTAAGCGTCGAAGTGTGACTCCAACGTAAGGCACGAGAATCACGTCACTTTTTCATTCAAATTTCATTAATAATGAGTTTTCTCGCCAAACTGGTTGAACATGTTCGATTTCTGACTAGACTGAAATGATTGTGATAAATAATTAACTTGCCTATGTTGAAAAGACAAAAAAAAAAAAAAAAAACAATAATGGAAAACAAATCTGAAAACCAACATAGAATTGTAGAGCGTGTAGGATGAGGATAATAACGAAGATATGCATTTAAACAATTAAATAAAAATAGAAGGAGTAAGACAAATTTTTAACGAGTACGGTGTTAAAGGAAGTGTAGCGATAAATCACGAATCATAGGTAAAAAAGAAAAAAAGAACGTCTGTACATATGTATAGCGCGTATTTGACCATGAAAAATATAAAATTAATCGGTTACGTGATAACAAAAACAATTTGTTTAAGAAAATAGAATGAACCGCGAGTATGTACGTAAAAACAGAATCGAATTAACGGATTAACGGATTAGATAGACTGTACGAGAATTGTAGTAAAGCAGGAAAAGATGCAATCAATGAATTGATGAAAAATCTTAAATTACATGCATTTACTCCATAATGAATTTTCTAATCTTCATTTCGACACGACTAAATTCAATAATTCATTAAATACCAAATGTTTGTGAAACAAGAAAATATAAAATGAAACTCTGGAAATATCCTGTTACGTAATTTTAACGTATGTTTATATACAGAAAGTTGTTTCAATTAGCAGTACTGCATATTTTTGTTTACTTTTTAATTGTTTTTCTTTTATTTATAAAAAAAAATATATATATATGTATATATATATATATATATATATATATATATATATATATATATATATATATATCAGATTGGTGCTGAATAAAGTATAAATGAAGGTGAAAAATGAAAAGTAAATGCATAAGCAAGAAAACAGTTATATGCAAACGATATGTCGGAGGGAATGTGGAAGAAGGCTGAGACATCATAGTGGTAAAATAATTAGAATAGTCGATAACAAAATATAGCTCAAGTTAAAGGAAATGCTTCATGGTGTATTTCCTAATAATAAAATTTGTCAATACCGTAACATTCACATTGACATTATCATTCGTTATCCAATATCATTTTATTGATCATGACCATAGTTATTTTTCATAAACACTATCGTTATGCTCATAATCATTATCATTCACATAATCACAAGATATGCTATTTTCATTCTCATGTTCTCGCAATTATCATAAAACATCCCATACACTAATATGTTGTTATTATTGTCTTGAACGTGATCATCGTGAACTTCATTCATACATTTCGTGGCAATACTTAATAAATTTTACGTACTATCGGATAGTCTTTTAAATTTCTTCATTAAAACGTGTGATCTCTCTTATTATTGTATATTACAGAATACACTATGATCTTAACTTAGTACGAGATACGGATATATATAAATATATACATGTGCGTGTGTGCGTGTGTGCGTGTGTGCGTGCGTGTGTGTGAGCGTGTGGCTGTGTGCGCGTGTGTGCGTGCGCGTGTGTATGAGTGGGCGCGAGCGTGTGTAAATTGTGTATATGAATATGTATATATACATTGACACATATGCACGTATACACATACACACACGCGCGCGCTTACGTATATGTATATATTCACGTACAGGTAGGACAAACGCCCGCGCAACACACATAACACGCAATACATACACATACACATACACATACACATGCATACACGCACACGCAAGCACGCAAACACACACACACGCAAGCACGCAAACACACACACACACACACACACACACACATATTTATATATAGTAATTATTACGTATTAGATATTCTATATAGTCTTTTAATTTGATAAAACAGAGATTTGAGATGATGATTGTGTGGCCATATTTACTATGGCCTGTTCGTAGTGCCTCGGAATTGCTGCTAATTGGTGCAGTAATTTAACTGTATTTCTTAGTTATACGTGCGTGTGTATGTGCATGTGCATTATAAATATTTACGTATACGTATACAGACCGTGTATGCATATAAAAAAAATGAATACTTGCAATTAATGATACTCCTATTATAAAGGACTAAAAAGGATGAGAAAATGCGCTCTAAAGTGTTATTATAAAAATTTTAAGGATATAAATGAACCGTGTCATGCAAAAGGTGTCACGTTAAAAAAATAAAAACGACTCATTAGCTTATAAGTCTTATACCGCGTATACATATTAAAAGAAAATAAAGGAACGTGTAAACACATAATATATATGACGCATATATATATATATTGTGCAAGGCGCCAAAACGTCAAAATGTATATTACTGCGCTTTGACAATGTGATTGTGGCTCTCAAAGACTTTATAAAATTTACGTTAATGCTTACCTGCTTTTTTGACAAAAAAAAAAAAAAAAAAAAAAAAAAAAAAAAAAAAAACACACATAATAAAAACGCAATAAATTTATTTAAAAACATATCTATTTATCATTGCCAATTATTAGGATCGTATGAACGATAATCGTCTTCAGTCATCATCATTATGTACACGTTAATCATTATCTTTCATCAAAATTCATTTGACCGCCAAATTCTAAAAAAATAATTAGCAAAATTTAGCTTCATTAACCATATTATGAGCCACTCGAATATTCTGAATAATAAATAACAATTTGCTCGTATAAATTAAAAATTTTTACTCGTTATTCGAAAGAGAAACTTACGAAAAAAACCGAAAATTCAGCTCATTCGAAATTTCAATTTAACAATAAAAAAGAATAAGTGGCACGTACACAAATTGGCAATTTCAAGTGTCCCAACGACAAGGAACAACATATGCGTACGCGCTGTCAAAACAATAAACACTAGAGAATCTCAAGGTTACGGGCACGTAATTTTATTCCTTACATATAAAAAAGTGCATACGTGTATGCAGTATCTTCTATTCATTATATGTTTTTCGAAACAAAACATGACGCTAATAATGATGCGCGCGTGTCTTGTAAGGATTAGGCAGTTTTTGCACACTTCCGGTACCGATGAAAGAATGCTCATCTGCACTACGCTAAACGCTAAACATAATGCAAAAATAATGAAACAAAAGCGTGCATTTGCTCCTCTTAAAAGCAGGTTTCAATAATTATTCAGCCCTGTTTGCATGTTTTTTTTTTTTTTTTCTTTTAAATTCAAGCTCCGCGCGACATATACCTCAACGCAGATTTTATCCGTTGACATTATTATATTGATAATATTATGAATTATTATTATTCTTTATGTTTTTTGACTGTTTTACTATTTCCACGTGTTAATTGCTAGACGACAAATAAGAGCTGATGCGACAGATTATATAGGGGTTTTTTTTTTTTTTTTTGTGTATTTTTTTCTTTTTCTTTTTTTTTTTTAATGCGCTGGCACGCCGCGACTGAAACAGGCCGCAAATGCAAGCACACAGGCACAAATTGCCAAACCGTAAATAATATACACATGTAATATACAGCTCTGTTTTTATTTAAAGAAAGAAAAAAAGAATCACTTGTTTTCTACACCGACAGAGTAATGGGTAAATGAAATATGTATAAAACAAAGTTAAGTTTGTATTATGAGAGTGGCTCGATTACATACTGACACGATATATAAGCGTTTTCATATTTCTTTTTAAAAAAGAACCGACTGCGTATTCTCGTTTTTTCTTTGTTCTTTGCCGACGTTCCGGTTTATTCATGTCTGCAGTTAGAAATAGTGGCGTGCAATACTTGTAATCGTTTTCCTCATCGTATTCTTCCAATATTAGAGAGACATAATTATAAAAGGTTAATAGGTGAGAAATTTATGTTGAAGATTCTTTACTCGGAGAATGATCCAGTTATAACAATTTTATTGTAAGTATAAGATATTTTTGCATTGTTAACGTATTTAGTATCAAGCCGAGGATATTTCACGGTACTTTGAAAGTGATTTAAGACTACAAATTTTCAATAAACACATAAAGTAATAATAATAAATACAATAAAGGTAATTGTTACAAACACATGTTTATTAGATTATACTTAATGT